TATTCCAGATTTCTACTGCTTCTGGTGTAGTCTACAAAAGGACCAGCAAAAGGATTGCTTAAGGCAGTAAAGCCAGTCTCTTCCAGTGCACTGAAAAACAAACAACAATACAAATAAATAAAATAGTGCTGATTGATTGTCTTTCTCTCTCTCTTTCTTTGTGTTACAAACATGAAGAATTGTTTTTGAGTAATGTTATCCTCAACATTAATGCTCACCCCGTTCTTAAAGATCTGACAAATACTCAGAAAATCAGAACGCAAAAATCAGAAGATGCAACAAAGCATTTATGATGCTGTCCACTCTGAGTATTTCAGGATATGATACATATGTGGCATATTCAAATGTTGTCTACCACCTACTTAACAGAAGGTCTATTCAGCTTCTGTCTGGAGAAGAGGACAATACTCTGCCCAAAGCATACATCAAAATGCAAGACCTGATAAAAGTCTTTTGCCCTATTGCTGGTTGAAGGGCAGAAATTTAGGAGCTTGAAAACAAGAGAAAGTCAGTTTATCACTCATTAAAATATATGCTTTCATACTGCTATCGTGGTTTTCTCATTCTCATCAGTATCTCTTCTCAACCCAAATTCTTAGAAGACATTTAAGGTTTTATAGACAGACTCCTGTGGGAAAATGTGGAGTCTTATTTTCTCAATGTGATCCTGTTATTTATACAGAGTGTATGTAAAAACCTGTTTTCCTGAACACGGTAGGAATTAAATATAACACAGTTTTTAGATTCACTGTTCTAAATCACCTCTGGCCAATACCTGGTCCACAAAGCTTTTCCCTTTTTAGCCTCCTTTTTCCAGCTGTCTTGCCTTCTGGATCCACTTGGCTGCTTGCCCTCACAAGCTAATCCATAACTAGCCAGGGCCTGTGTCTTACGTACACAGAAGTTCATTTTTTGATGGGTCTATGTACATGACTGATAATCCCAATCATTTCAAGTATCTTGCATTAAAAAAAGGCTTTTAATTCCTTTTAGTATTTTTCCTTAATAGAGATTACTAAGCTTTCCAGCAGCAACAAGGTTTCATCCAGATTCCACCAGTTTACCCAAAACAGGCTGCACATGTCTTATGACCAGGTGTTGCTCAATATATTACTTACTTTGTTTCCAAGGCAAAGCATAATGCTGAACTCTAATTAAACATGAGTCAAATCTGAAACCTGTTCAAACTTGAGACATTCATTTTGTACTTGCAACAAACAGATCTACTGATTTAGTAGAATTTTGTTGAAATTCAGCTTTTTCAGTTGTATGAGGTCATATTCAGAAGTAATAAGAGATCACTTCAGGCTTACTCCTCATTTGAGTTCAAGTCAGCTAGTGCAATCCTCTGCAAATAATAATGTGACATCTTAGAACATTTGGATTTAGAATGTGCCCATCATATTCAACACTTAACCAATGACACTGAATAACCTGTAGAGTTAGGCACAGGTAAACACTGGGCAAGTGTTATATGAAACTAAAGCTCATACTAGAATTAAGAGATGATGCTGTTTTGTCTGAACCAGTCACACCCACAAGAACCTGCTCTGAAGATGATGCCAATACCTGATGATTCCCTGCTTTGAAAACAAAATAGAACCAGCCACCACTAATTTCAGTTCTAGAAGCAAATACATTTAGTGTTATGCAGCTGGCACATTTTGTTTTCACAATCTGCATGTGATCAAGTAACTCGCCATTAGACAACAATGATTTGAAAAGAAGAGGGGGGATTTATTTAGGCTCTCTAGAAAGCATGTAAAAGGCATGCTTTCACATGGGGAAAAAAACATTGCTGCCTTGAAATGGCAGTATAGAGAGCAAAATAAACACTCAAAAAAAAAAGACAACAAAAACTCATGCAACATTATCACTAAGAATTCATCGGTGTTTGGCACACATTTGCTAGTATCTAGACTTCTCAATAAAAAAATAGCACCAAGCTAAATTAAGCAGCATTATTAACCAATAACTGTACACTTTACTGATGAGTTGATCATACCGATCAAGGAGCATTATCTCACCTTTAAATTGTTCTCTACAGTGTGTAAAGCTTGCCAAAACAAAAGGATCAAACAGCAGCTTTGACAACTTTGCAAACACCAAGTTGTGGCTTTCTCACAAATAGGGAGATGGTATTAATTTCCCTTTCCTGTTTAAAAAAGCAGCAAGCTACAGCTGTAGGATTTTTAAAAATAAGTTGATTTTAACCTTTGATACCTGATCAACATCAGCAGACTTTTTCCCTCCTGTATCTCTTCTGCAGCTCTTGTCAGAACTAACTAATCCGGTTTTTTAATTTTAATGTCAGCTTTCTCATTTGTTTGGCTACATGTGCAACATCCTCCTATGTATGCAGGTAACTAGTGCCTAACCCCATTTTGTATTCCTTAACCATGTTTCACTGCATTTGCTTTTGCGGCAGCCTGCCTTTCTTCAAAGTCTGCCAGGGAGGTACAAGTTAATCAGTGTGTAAAAATTCTGCTAGGACTATGCTGCAACTGACAGCATCAAACAGCACAAGCACAGGTGCATCCATTTGTTTAAAAATTAACTCAGCTTTGCATGCACTTCTGCAGCTCCCCTCCAAAAGCAGTTGTGGCAAAAAGTCTTCAGAAAAGTGTCAAAAAAGTATTATTTACCTAGAAATTAAATGTGTGGAACTGCCACCAACATTTAAAGCATTCTGGAGAGAACTGTCAGTCAAAGCACTATTAGGCCAACTCAAATTCTCATAAATCTTTTCCCTTTCAGAGTCTGCTGTTGGGCTTAATCTGCTCCAACTCCACCCAGGATACAATGGCACAAACAGAACCTAGAAGTCAATGGACAATTCCTGCTTAGAAGATGCAGTCACCAGAAGACTGAACGTAAAACTGCATTCTCCTATTCAGCCTTTCAATCTCCTCAGGTAAGGCAGCACCCCCAAGGCACACTGCCCACGTGAGATGGAACAATCTATTCTTATATTATGTCCCTACCTTGTCTCTGCACATTTTCTGCCTTGTGCAGTGACCAAATTCCCAATTTGCCTAATCCTTCAGAATTTATCATTTGGCAAGGCTTTTCCATCACATTTGTCCTGCCACTCTTCTGTTCTGTAAAACATTATGAGTGCTCAGATCAAGTATTTTTAAGGTATAGACATATATTCTTTGCTAGCTCTTAAAAGCTAAGGAGAAACCACTTTTTTTTTTAAAAAAAGGGTACTCCAGCTGGCTGCTTGTTTAGTGGAAACTTTCATTGGTAACTTAGCAAGTATTTTCACAATTAAGCATGACAGCAGTCCAGATTTAACACTGCACATGACACAAATTACAAGGTTGATAAAAACAAAAGAAAAACCACCTAGGAGTGCTGCCACATATATGTTGTTCATGTCTGTCAAATGATAAAAAATACACAAAAGTCTTCTGAAAATAAAGTTTAATATAAATACAAAGCCAACAATAAAAGATGAACTGAGTTCTCTAAACTTCTAGACTAATTTCTGAAGAGTACTACATTTTTACATTTACAGTTTGCATTTTAAAAAAAATAAAACAAGATTCCTCTAGCCTGCTACACAAACACACATTAGCATGCAGACTAGTTCCCCCCCACACACACACCCCCTAAAACACCCTTAAAAACAATTCTCTAAAAATATAATTTAAAACAGCACTGTGACACAACTTGAAAAAATTGCCCCAAGTCAGTAAAAGCATATTGCACATTACTCGAATTGCTGTCCTGAGAACCTTCAAAGAAAAGATGAACCAAGAGCACTGCCTTCAAACAAATTTACAGTAGTTTTGATATATACAACCACTAAAGTTTCACATTTGCAGAAGTCCATTTCTTCTAAATATCTATATTAACATAAAAATGCCTATACATTTTTTTGATCATCCCTGGTTTCAGTTGAGAAAGAAACCTTTGGATTGTGACAGGATGTGTGTCTCATTGCAAAGCAGCAACAGGATCTTCAATTTACCAGCTATATTTTCCAAGGCAATGCTAAGATGATATTTAAAAAAAATAAGTCAGCATTGTCTAGCACTGCAATGAAACTCTAATTTCATAGTAAAGTTAATCAGTTCCCTATCTTTGTCCCCATTAACACCAGTTCCTCTGTCCTGAGCCTAAACTACTGCCACAAATCATTGACCCAAAAAGATGAAATAACTGAAGGCAGTGAATCTTTCAAGTGTTTTTCCAAGAGGATTTCTTCAAGTAACATTAAATGCCCAATAAAGCTCATGAACAATTTTACTAACAAAAATCTCCAGTCTCAAAAGCAGCAGCATGTTAAAGATCGAAGAGATGGTTTAAGGTTTTGGTTTTGTTTCTAAAATACTTGAAGGCAGAGTGATGTTCCATTCAGCAGCACCACCTTTAGATTCCAAGATAACTTTAAGCCAAAAATTATTTGATAGTTTTCTGGCCCATTTTTCTTTTTGTCCTTTAGAATAGAAGTCTTCTTTATGATCTATCAGTCCTGCTAAAAGAAAATGGAAAGTGTTCTACCCGTAGATTTCTGCATAAACAAAGTTCACATTCAACTGATAGCAATTTCAGTATATTTTAGTAGAAGCTTCCAGTAGTATAAGCTGCCACTGTTCAAACAAAACATCACTGGGAGAGGAGGAGAGGACTCTATTTTCAAACAACATCCCCTAGGTACATTGGTGCTTGGCCAGAAATTCAACAAACACTCCAGCCTGAAATAACTCTTCAACAAAAACTTTCAGCAAACTCTGACAAGTCACTAACTGAAGACTAGAAGGAAGACAGACATCTCCACAGGGTTGCTACACAGATGGCTCTCAAATTGACAGCAAGTGGTGTCTCATTAAGAGCAAAAGGTACAGCTCTTGGCAGAAAGGCACCCAGGTTTCAGTGTTCAGTGGATCCAAATCAACATTGTCTGCATAAGGAAATCATAAGGAGTCTTTTCTTTCATGGTTCTCATTCAGATATACAACTTGTATCACCACAGGGTCTCTTATCAATATTTATCCTTCAAAACACCTAGATGCATACAACTGGTGACTACTAAAGTAACTACTGCCATAAGCCATGGGCATGCCGTGTCTAGGCTGTGTTTCTAATGCCACTTGCCCAGCAACAGGCATTTGGGTGGGCAGAACCTGGGCAGATGGCCAAAGGCTGGTCTGAGGAGCTGCGCAGGAGTGCAGCGAGCTGTCAGCACTCCTAGCAAGCAGATCGCTGGGCCTGTGGACCTGTAAGGAGTCACGATAAGCAGAGCACAAATCTTGCACTGGCGACTGGAACAGGGAACACGTAGCTGAACGCTGGGCTAAAGGGTGATAAATAGATTGCTGGAAGAGGACTTGAGTAGTGGCTTGATAGCTTGGAGTTCCCAGAGCTTCCCATTCTTGACGTTGAATTGTTACCTGCTTTATGTTACTGGCTTCTTTGATGTCATTCTCATAACACCTGAAACAAATAAGTAAGATTTATCAGAGAGAGACGTTCACAGAGGTTGCATATATCCCAAAGTTTTCACCAGTCAGGCTACATCATCAGCTTTTTGGCCCTAGCTGTACATGGTAATCCTCAGCTGCTTTCACAATTAATTTCCAATTATCCTGCTGTGATCTTCACATACTAAAAAGGCTTATGGATAATTTTGCATCATTTATATGTTTTTACTGATGGATTAGTTATCTTCGTACCTTAAGTCCACAACACAGACATTTTGAAATAGTCTGTGTAAGTATTTGCAGAAGATTAAAGTGCATAGCTATAAGGAAACAAGGCAAATTCCTGCTAGATATTAGGAAGAAACATTTTCACACTTTTGATTATCTTGAGAATGATGAAGCACTGTAACAAGTTGCTCAGAAAAGTTAGGAAGTCTCTGTCCTTGGAGATAGTCAAAACTCGACTAGACAACACCCCAAGCAGTCCAATTTAACTTCAGTTGGCTCTGCTTTAAGTAGGAATTCAGAAGGTCCACCATCCCTCTTAACCTAAATCGTTCTATTAAAGCTTTTTAAATTTTCTATTACGACTGTATGTGCTCACATACCAGACCAGTACTGATGCATCACAGTCATGTCCTTTACTGGAGAAAACCCAAAGAATAGTTCTGAAATGTCTCCCTACTGTATTCTCAATGTTAGAGATACTTAGTGCAGAGAGACACTGGCGTATGTTGCAGGTACAGTGAGAAAACAAAGGGAAAAAAGCTTCCATCCAATCACATAGACAACCAGTACAAGAAAACATAATGAATATTGTGTGCTTCATTCTGCATTGCAAATATTGTTACAGTATTTAGTAAAGTGACCTGATTTTTTCCCTTTTATTCCTCTCCCCAAACTGATGGAGATTACCAATGTGATATTGTACTATCTTAATTCTAGCTAAACAATTAAAAAGGAGTATTAACATCTTCCTAAGAGTGCAAACAGGTTACTTTCTTTTTGATCTTACATTAATATCATTTCAGTGCATTGGGTAAGATGTTCCCAGGAGTAACATGTTAGCAATTCAAGCTCTGTTGTCCAGGCAGGAGAAATCTGCATACAGATACGTGAGGCGCACACACAAGCTGCAGCGATCAGAGATGGACGAAAATGGAGGAAACTGTGCTCTACAAAAGAAAAAACAAAAGCAAGAATTATACTCTTACTAATAACTGCAGTGAGCCTATTACGTGTATGTATGGCAAAACAGGACAAAATTAAATCCACAAGTTCGTTCCACCCATCTCAGAGTATTAACTCATGACCAGAAAGAGTTTCTCAAAACTGGATGAAGCTTCCCTGAAGATCTCTGTACTACTTGTTCATAACAACCATCAAGGCTTCACTGTAGTTCCTTTCATTACAGAAAAAGCCACAAAATAGACTGTGCTGAAATTTGTAGACTGGTCTCAAGTAAACCAAAGTGAAGTATTGACAATTACACACATTTATGTTACTGTTGAACCCGGCTTATGAGGATGCTGCAGTTCACTGCCTCTTGCATGGGCAGACATTGAAAGCTATGCTGCAAACCAAATCATTAAAAGCCCCATCATTCTGTCATATCTTGCAGCACAGGACCCTCTATAAAAATAGAATTAAAAAAAGATTCATACATTGAACTGCATAATATCACATCTGCAACTGACAGTAGTTCATACACTGTGGCAGATTCAAAAATTAAACCCCATTTCTGACAGTCTCACCAATTAGTGTTTTACGCTGAAGAAAAAAAAAAATCTATCTTATCTAGAGATTTCTGAAAAGAGACAAGAGGCTTACATGCAAGGAAGGGACACCATACCATTTGCCATGTGAAATAACTGCAAAAGAGAAACAATTCTGCACTGATAATTTTGTGCAATCCATACTATGACAAGTTTTAAAGCCCTTATCTCTTTCAGATTTTTGCATTTTGCCAAATGGAACATCATTCTAGCATAAAACTAAGCCTCTTACCTTGCAATGAGAGCTCAAGGAAATAATACGTGTATTTCTCCAGCAAATATTTGATTTTGGTCAGTGAGATGATTGGCCAGCCATTGTGTAGGTCATACTTGCCAACAGACACACTGAGGTAGTAGTCAATGTAGTGTGCTGGTGTTGGTAGACAGAGGTTCCAGTCGAAGTTTTCGAAAACCAGCAATTCCAATCTAAATAAGTCTTCCTTTTTCAATACTACATTCACATTGCACATCTGTGCCACGTTATTTAAAAATGCCAACCTTGGAACTTTAACTTCTCTTTCTTCAAATTTACCTGCCAGAAGAGATGGATTTCAGATAAGATTTATCATTATGATTGAGTGTCCAAAAGTCAAAGAACACACCCAAACCCAGGAAGTCTAATGATAAAAGGTGCTTTTTAAAGAAGGATGGGAAAGTACAATGACATAAGCAGGAAAGAAGCCAACAGACTGGTCAACATATTCCTATATCCTTTTTATGTTTTATTTGTTTGTGTTTAATTGTTTGTGTAGTATTGATGCCAAAACCAAGATTATAAACTCATTAGGACTACTGATAATTTTCCTGACAATAACTGGAAGCGGTTTGCTGAAGGACATTCAGTCAAGTGTGAAGAAAGCAATATGGGGAAAATATGACCAAAGATCTAATATTGAGGAAAAAAGCTCCTTTGGGTATGGAAGCTAAATGTACATGCTACAAAAAGGAAGACATTAAAAACCCTTGGGCAACACCACCTTTGCCCTTGCTGCTTCAGAATTTCTCTTTGTTCCTTCCTGTCTTGGAGGGCCTCATTAGTTAAGGTCACCAAAAGGCTAGAAGTACACCATAACCAAGTGATTAACATAAGTAATTCCTATGGGGTTAGGAAAGAGCATACATTTTTCAGAGTCAAGATAGCTGAGCAAAGTTGCACTTCCTTCTAAATTGTATTCAACCGCCTACTGAAATGGCAGTAGTCTCTAGAATGACTCAATTTTCACCAGTAGCTACAAAGTGCTGTCATTTTGTATCGAAAAACAGGATCTCACTCTATTCACCCTTCTTTGATAAAAACATCCAATATCAGATTTGATTCCCAGGATTAGATCTATCAGTGATATCACTAGGAAAAGCTAAAGGTTGCAGAGAAGCATCACTGCTATCAGATGTACCCCGAAGGCTCTTTTAAGCAAATAGCCTGTTTTTTTAAGCTGGTGGAAGTTGCAAAACGTTTTGCTCTAGTATTATCATAGGGCAGTTTGTGAACTTCCTTTTGCTTCATAGTTGCATAGAGGTGGCCTAAAGTTGCATTTTACTTGTCATTTACATAAGGAAAATCTTGAAAGCTTTTTTGCTTCTTTTGAAATCCTAGAAGCTACAGAAGTCAAGAGCCCAGCTCTCCCAATCTCATATAGTGAACCTCTACCCAAGATCTTACCAGTATACCAACTCTGACAATTCATAGAATCAAATTGTTTGGTTGGAAGGGACCTTAAAGATCATCCAGTTCCACCCCCCCTGCCATGGGCAGGGACACCTTCCACCAGACCAGGTTGCTCAAAGCCCCATCCAGCCTGGCCTTGAACACTTCCAGGGATGGGGCAGCCACAGCTTCTCTGGGCAACCTGTGCCACTGCATCACCACCCTCACCATGAAGAATTTTTTCCCAATACGTATTCTAAATCTTCCTTCTTCCAGTTAAAGCCATTGCCCCTTGTCCTATCACTCCATGCCCTTGTAAAAAGTCCCTCCCTCTTTCTTGTAGGCCCTTTTAGGTACTGGAAGGCTGCTCTAAGGTCTCCCGGAAGCCTTTTCTTCTCCAGACTGAAAAACTACAACTCTCTCAGCCTGTCTTCACAGCAGAGGTGCTCCAGCCCTCAGATCATCTTTATGGCTTTCTCTGGACTCGCCCCAACAGGTCCATGTCCTTCTTGTGCTGCGGACCCCAGAGCTGAAGGCAGTACTGCAGGGGGGGGTCTCACCAGAACCAAGTAGAAGGGGATAATCCCCTGCCTCGGCCTGCTGGTCACGCTGTTTTGGATGTAGCGCAGGATACGGTTGGCAAACCATATTATTCATAGAAAGTTTGAAGGTACCTTTGGCCTCTGTATAAGAAACCTCTGATTTGCAAGGAACTGATTATGCCCAGTGATCACAGAGGCACAGATTGTCCAAGGACAGATCTCCAGGAGAGGCTGCGTGTTACACAGATGTCATCCCCTACTACCAAGTCTTCCTTGGAATTAACCTTTCCCAGTCTTGCCACTTCCTTCCCACCCCATGATCTTCATTGTCCCCTTCCACTGACACAGCTTCAGCTGCCAAAACTTCCTCTGCACATTAACACCACCATATAGATGTATAGTGCAAGCTATGCAATTGAGCAGAGTTTATTAACAGACTGCTTTATGCCTTGACTTGGACTTCATTAGGCCTTACCCTAAGTAGGTAGAAGCTGTTAACACTGCAAAAACATCACATGATATATAAGGAAAACAACCATCTGCTCAGAAAAGAAGCCTTAATAGACAGCAGCCAACTTACTTGCTAGGAGAAGACAGCCAAATGAAATGACATGTAGTTGCTCGACAGACATATCATAGCGATCCATAAGGATGTCCAATAAATAGATAGCAAGATGCCGAGCCATAGGGCAGAGATTGCAATGGTTGCTGATGGCAGTCAAGAGGCCAACGAAGTATCGCCGCATCCCAATCTGTGGTGAATCAGCCTTGTAAACAGGCAACTTAAGTTCCTATGGGGGGAAAAAAAAGGGTGGAAGGAGAGGTATTGAAACAAATACTATTTCAGTGTCTGGAATCCCAAACCAACACCCACCACCTGCTATGACAAGTGCTTAGGAGCTACAGCATTACAACTGACACAGAAATCAGGGCTGGATTACTGCATGTTTTGACAGTCAGTTAACTTCTAATACTTTGGTCATCCACGCACTTTCCTCACAAGCATTAAACACATGGTCAAACACTGTATATTACAGTTTAACCCAGGAACAACTTGCTGTTGCTTTCTACAGGACACCAAACTTCTTGGCCATGAAAATTGTTCCTGAATGACTCCTTTTTAATTTTGTTCACCCAAATTGGACTGTTAAATAAGGTTTTAACAGAGTTTCATAGGCAAGAAGGGCAAGATACGTTTCTGATATTGCCCCTTCCTCAGATGCCCAAGTTACCAAATCCAGCACCAAAAAATGCATAGGTTTTTAAAATAAATAACATCTATCTAACATTAAAAAAATTCACACGGGGCATGACTGCAGCAAGAAACAAAAGTAGACATTAACAAGGAAAAAAAACATGGGAGAACGATTAGACTTTTCTAATTATAGCAAATTCCAGTATTTTCTGTAGTAACCTATTTCAGCATTATAAAAGCTAATTATTGAACTAACAGGCTGTATTTCACATGTAATATACAAATCTTCATTTTAAAGAGAGAATTATGTGCGTTTTTGATCTACCTAGGTTAAACCTTCACCTGCAAGAGTTTTTACACACAAGTTTTTAGCCACTATGTGAAGAGGAGGTTAAGGGAAGGAGTGAAGATCCTTGGTAATAACTGCCAACCAGCTAATGCCACTTAGGAGTTGACACTTTCTCACTTTAGCCGTGGTCATGTACTAATGTACAACATGTACAAACAGTTGTCATGGCCAGACTTGAATTCAAATGGGCTCAACACCTGCTGATAGGCATGGATTAGAAAAATACTGTTTCAACAAGGTATCTCTCTCTAATTTGTCAAGGCAATATGTCATTTTTGTATTACATATATTTGAAAATAAATTAGAAGTAGTACAGTGCTGCAAGATAGACGTGTTTTATAGTGGAATACAAAGCAGTACATAGCAGTTAATTCTACTAAATAAATCAGGATTTTTTTTTTTTTAAAAAAGCATTCAGAGGAAGTATCTGCACTGACTACCCCATTTACAGAAGTAAGAGGCACCACCTTGCACAGCTGGCACTGTGGCTGCCCACCCTCCTTTCATCCCCTGGAAGGAGACATTCCACAAAGGGGTTCAACTTATCAGGAAGAAATAGCTACACAGTCAGGCTCAGAGGGGCACACGTAACTGGAAACCAGGGAGGCTCCAGAACAAGAAGCAGCTTACAAAGAGAGCAAGCCGAGAGCTGTTACGGATGATTACTTCCCAGGCCTTTTTAAAGAAAGCGAAAAAACACCACGTTCCGGACTGAACAGACACACACTGTGGACAGGCAAACAGTGCTTTGAAACCTGGGACAGCCTTCACTGGGGTCTTACAAAGAAATCGGCCACCAGTAACATGCTCCCCACATTGTTTTAGATCCAGAAAACCCATAAATTTGATTTTTTGATTCAAACCGTAAGTACAACTGACATACACAGGTTCAGAGCCAGAATTCATAGCATACCCATAACATCAATGTTCTGGCAGAAATGGTTTCAAGCTCAGTGCTTACTTACATCGGTTGAAATAACCGCATTTTTTAAAAAATGTCTAAACAAAGCCCAAGCTATCATAAGATCATGTGCCAATTCTACCTCTGAAATATTTTGTTGTTCTAAGTGACTGGTAGGAGCTTCAAGTTTTATTTTTTGAAATGTTCTTCCCATTTCTACAGCTAAGTCTCAGAGCAAAATTATACTATATACTCTAAGGTCAGCATACATATTTAATGTGAATTTTGCTTTTTAGACCATAACAACAAACACAAGACAAAGAGTACCTTCAGTTATACATCTAGTCAAAAAATCTGACATGTCTAAATGTTACAGTTCAGTGGGTGAGCATTAGGGGTTCAGAATGAAAGCAGATATCCAGAGATTTGCATCCAAACCTCAGATGCTCAGAAGCCAGAACTACCCCTACTCAGCCCACTTCACTAGAAAATTCAAAGACCAGTCAAAGTACTGAACTTAAACCAATAGGATTATTCTGCTACTGGTCTAATGCAGACATTTACTCCCCTGTAAGACATCTGCTTTTTTATATATATATTTTTAATTTTTAAAAATCTGTTACTAGTAAAGGATGTAAGTGAAAGGTATTCTCATTTTGTTCACCATTGTTCAACATTGGCTTTCATATAATGAGACTTGACAGCACAGACAAGGTTCAACTTCAGGATGAATGTTAGGAGGAACAGACCCACGTCCTGTGGTTTCTTACAAGATCGAGTTCCTAGGTATTAATTGATCCAAACTAATTATCTTTGTATAGGCAAGAGCCTTGCCCTGTACCACATAGCATGAAGCCGTTAATAAGTAGTTCAATAAGACTGCTTTTACACTGACAGATCAGTCTTAAACGATGAGATTTTCTTTTAAAGGAAAGTGAGCGGTACGTAGTTTAACAATGCAAGAGCTGAATAACAGGCTTACAGTTATCAACATGGCTGTGGGTATGCACCCCTTTCCATCACCCCCCCACAGGGTTCTTTAGCATAAGTTCATCAAGAAAAAAAACCTACTCCTTTGAATTAAAAAAAAAAGCCTTTGTTGCTTTGGGGATAGTGATGCAGGATCAGCAAATACAACTCTATGGAAAAAAATGAACTTTTGGGGAGCAATAAATCTTTTTTATTGCTTTATTTTCCCCCCCATCTCCAGTAAAGCAACAGAAAAGAAACTGGGAGTCCTGCTGTCTGCTGGAATTGCCCTTTCATATGCTGCTTCTGCTTATCTTTGACCTGTTCATCTCTACCTACTTCAACTTTGCTTTGGGCTACTGCTACTTTCTTTTACACCTGATTCAAACTGGAAAGGTACATCAGAATGAAAGGTTAATGTTTTATGCTCTCTATTAAATGAAATTGAAAAGAGCACAAAACCTTTAGCATATCCACAGGTATCTGGAACCCCTAAAGTTCTCATCTAGATTTTGTTTTAAAAACAAAACCCAGAGGCAGCATCTGTGCAACACCCTAACACCTCCCCTCTATTCACAGTGCAACTGTCTAGTCTGCACCAATCCGCGTTTCAGGCTGTGCCAAGCTGATCTAAACATATCAAACTTACCATTTAATTAATTAAGCATTGAAGAGCTGACCAGTTTTTAAATTAACAAGGACAAGAATGGACTTACAGGCTAAAAGATAAAACAATATCTGTTACATCAAGACCCTCATGCTACCAACAGGTCAAATAAACCAGATGCTTTGGCACAACTATAGAAAATACAGGGACATAGGCTGGGTGCAGGGAGAAGAGGAAGAGATTGTGGTTTTTACTGAAGCTTTTACTGAACAAAGTTACTACCTGCACTGCTTCTAACATGATGATTTAAAACTGCAAGAAATGCATTTACGGTGACAGTACTCAAAGACCAGTGAAGAAAAGGGTCCCCCACAACAAACCCTGTATGGATTACAGCCCTGCTTCAGAGACCGCACTCCAAATTGACACCATGGATGAAGCAGAGGGAAATGCTGCACATCAAAATAGAATGAAACACATCAGTGGTAAACAGCATTTCCTCATTAAGATCTTTAAACCAAGAGAAAGTGGAAGACAAATGTGGAGGAGCTTTCACCTAGAGGAAATCACTCAGACATTTTTACCACTTAAGAGCAAAGGACTGTTTGCTTTCAGCAGAAAGAGGATCAGCTCTCCTCACCTGGCTGAAAGTAACTGCAGATAGTAACTTGGACTGCCTTTAAAAAGATCACGTTATAATGATTAACCTTTTAAATTCACAAGCGACAAATCCTGTAAAATTTGGCCCTGCTCTGAGAAGCTATGCAAGAGATAAATAAAAAGGGAAATGCAGGCAGATCTAGTAATTCTCATTAGTTGCAGGAAATGAACATATCCTGGAAGGAAACAGCCCAACATAAGCACAAAAATGGGGGAGGAATAGCAAACAGACATCACTTATTTCTGGGGCACTCATACTGCCTTCTAAAGCAAAGTATCGCCTCAACTTTCAACAACAAACAAAACCCAACACTGACTTGTTACTCAGCTTTCCCCACTTGTGGAGTATTCAGGGCTACTGAAGCAAACAGAAGAGTTTTGTGCAGATGTTACAGTAGTCCCATGCCCATTCAGAGAGGTCTCTGATTTTTGACATGCAAGTCAGCTGCCTGGCACAACTGGTACCTTTCCATTATCAGTAACTTAGGGCCACTGCAGAAGTGGCTGAAGGACCAGAAAATATCAACACATACACACAGCACCCTTTTTGGCTTGGTGTGTGTTAGACTCTTCTAGTACAACCAAACACAATATGCTCCAATTTTTATTTTCCTTCCCAGCTCAGTCTTGAAACAGGTTTAATGTTCTAGCCTAATCCAGGGGAATACTTTAACCTTTCATTTAAGGTCTAAGGATATGCGTAGCACTTTTGGAATTTAAGTGTTTTGCTCCAGTAGGTCAGCACGCTCAATAACTAACACAATACAGTCCCGCTAAGCTGAACATCACATCCCAATAATCACAGCACAGGTATTTTACTAGTCAGACAATTCAGGGGCTATTAATTTCCTCCACATTGAGCTAAAGCCTTTGGGAAGTCAAAGGCTCACAGCGTCTTTCAGCCCTCTCTGAATTAGCCAGGTATACCACACACATTTAGTATCTGCTCTCATGCAGAACATATCCATCAGATACAACACACAATATCTGTCACAAAGGACACCAACTTTCAGTGAGGCTAAGAACAACTCCCAAATCCAGTTGGGGGGTGGGACGGATGGCATAACATTTTTTCCAGTTGTTAACAAAACCTGGGTTATTTCATAGTAG